TCAAATTTAGAAAGATTTTTAGTTTGTTTTTGTTGCTAATGGTTTGAATTATATGCGCAGGCGAATTACGCTTCTTCTTCGAATAATAACCAGATCGAAGCAGAACCTTCTATTAATGATCTTCAGGATGATGATGATGGCAGAGTTCATGATAAGGTTTTTAGAACATAAATATATATAGTATCTTATTAATGGAGAAAAATGGCGGTTTTTTTGTGTGATATTGATTGATTGTTTTTTTCCTCGTATGCGAATAGATGAAACGACGTTTAGCGCAGAATCGAGAAGCTGCTCGAAAAAGTCGTTTGAGAAAGAAGGTAAAGCAAAATCTCTTTACTGTAGTCCTTTTTTTAGTGTATTGATTGATGAATCTCATATAGTTAAAGTTGGTTACTACTAAGTTTGCTCTGTTTCTTTAGGCGTATGTTCAACAATTAGAAGAAAGTCGGTTAAAGTTATCGCAGTTAGAGCAAGAACTCGAAAGGGCTAAGCAGCAGGTGAGCTAGGTGAAATCAAAAGTGTTCTGTTTTTGTGTATTTATTATACAATCAAAATCAATTTTTGTTTTTCGTTATTTGACTCGAATACTATTTGTTTTTTTCGAAAGGGATTATGTGTACGCAACTCGTCATCAGGGAGGATTAACACAGGGATTGCTTCATTTGAGATGGAATATTCACATTGGCTTGAAGAACAAAGTAAGAGAGTTAGCGAAATCCGAACAGCGCTTCAAGCTCATATAAGCGATGTAGAACTCAGGATGCTAGTAGAGAGTTGCCTGAACCATTACGCAAACCTCTTTCGAATGAAATCTAATGCAGCGAAAGCCGATGTTTTCTACTTGATATCGGGCATGTGGCGAACTTCAACAGAAAGATTCTTCCAATGGATCGGAGGATTCCGTCCTTCCGAACTTTTAAACGTAAACCTTCAAAGTTGCAATCTTTCAAAAAAACAAAAAAAATACTAATTGACATTTTCAAAATGTAATTTTTGTTATCCTTTTTTTTTGTTTTGGCAGGTTGTGATGCCTTATCTTCAACCATTAACCGATCAACAAATCTTGGAAGTCCGAAACCTTCAACAATCATCACAACAAGCAGAGGATGCTCTGTCTCAAGGGATCGATAAACTTCAACAAAGTTTAACTGAAAACATTGTGATTGATGCGGTTATCGAGTCCACGGACTATCCCCCGACTCACATGGCTGCAGCATTAGAGAATCTTCAAGCAATAGAAGGATTTGTGAATCAAGTAAGTAAGAAAGTTTATTACTTACTATTTCAAGATTGTGTCTTTTTCTATGTCAAGATTCAAGAATCTGTTTTGATTTAACAGGCAGATCATTTGAGACAACAAACATTGCAACAAATGGCGAAAATCTTGACGACAAGACAAGCAGCTCGAGGTTTGCTTGCATTGGGAGAGTATCTTCATAGGCTTCGTGCTCTTAGTTCTCTATGGGCAGCTCGTCCACGAGAACCAACTTAAAAAGAAAATTCATCAAAACTCAAAACAAGTAACAGAATCAAAAGTTTTAAAGAGGCTTCATCACAAGCTTGGAATGATGTTAAAAAAGGATCTTTGCTCTAAATAGAGTTATTCTCTTGATTTAGAACTTTATAGTTTTCCTTAATATCAAGTATTTCTCCAGATATTATATATATTTTTTTAAGATGTAATATTTGTAATCTATTAGATACGAAATAAGGCTTCTTCTTATTAGTGGTGTAATATATTCATAGGTTTTGAAATTTGCAATGTGATAGTATGTGTACCGAATCTAAATTTAATATATTGTTCAGGGACTAAAATGTGAAAAGGGTATAACTGTAATTTACTATTGCTCCGCTTCAATCGTCCACATAATATATATTTTTTTTTTTTCCCGGGAATCATCTTTGTAATTTTCTGAGGAAAATGAGAAAATCAGTTGAAGAAGAATTAGAAGAGTAAAAGTCTGGTGCTTTTTTCAAGTATTTCATTTTCGGAGTTAGCCCATACGTTTGTTTTCGGAAGAATCAATAAAATTTGAGGAATTTGTTCATGTTAAGAAGAGAAAAAAATTCGATATTTTTTGTTTTTTTATGAATTTTGATTTCTGGGTCTGCGAAATTCATCTGTTTCTGGGTCGGAAGTTATGAGCAATTTACGAGCTATTTGTAGACCACACTCGGTGTTTAGTTCGATCGTGTGTTGTAGTAGAAACCAAACTCGATCAATCATTAGGGTTTCGATTCAAAACGTCGGCTTTAGAAACCGAGTTTCGAATTCGTCTCCTTCTTCTTGGTTTAGGTCTAAAGATTCGAACTTTTGGTTTCGTTTGAGTCAGAGGAAGACTCTCGTTAAGGCATCGAATTGGAGCCAAGAGAAATCTCCATACGATACTCTCGGTAATAACTTCTTATACCAATTGGGATCATGTTTCATAGGAGCTTGTGGCAATTTTAGTGATTTTGATTACTGTTTGTGACTTGTGTAAGAAGAACTGAAACAAATCTCGTTTGTGTTTTGTTTGATTTTGGGTTACAGAGTTGGATCGAGATGCAGAAGAAGAGCAGATTAAGTTGGCATATAGAAGATTAGCGAAATTCTATCACCCTGATGGTACTTTTTTCTTCATTCTTTAAAGCCAAATTCAAATTCAAGATTTGTGATTGCTTAAAGTTCCTTTATTGGTGTTTGTTGAGGTTGTAGTAACATAAGACCTTGCTAAAATGTTTGTGTTAGATCAAAGAAACTCTGTATTAGGATTCATCGCAAAGTTGTACTCTGTTTTTTGGTTGTGTTTATCGCCGTGTTCTATCTGTAGTTTATGATGGGAAAGGGACTCTTGAAGAAGGAGAGACAGCAGAAGGTAGATTCATCAAGATTCAAGCTGCTTACGAGCTACTCATGGACTCGGACAAGAGAAGACAATACGATTTGGATAACCGAGTGAATCCAATGAAGGTATATGTATAAGAGTCATAACTTGGAAACTTGTTTTATAGGAATGAGATGTTAATAACAAGTGGTTTTGTGTAGGCATCACAAGCTTGGATGGAATGGTTGATGAAAAAGCGTAAAGCGTTTGATCAGAGAGGCGACATGGCGATTGCGGCTTGGGCTGAACAACAACAGCTCGAGATAAACCTACGTGCTCGTCGTCTTTCTCGTTCAAAGGTAAAGAAAATAACTAATCTTTCTTAAGCTTGTTCTTTCCAAAGTAGTAATTTTGGTTTTGCTGTCTGTTTTTTTTGAATGTGGAAACATATTTATTAAGGTGGATCCGGAAGAAGAGAGAAAGATATTGGAGAAGGAGAAGAAAGCGTCGAGAGAGTATTTTAACAGCACTCTAAAGCGACACACGTTGGTATTGAAGAAAAGAGATTTGATGCGAAAGAAAGCTGAGGAAGATAAGAAAAAACTCATCACTCAGCTATTGGCAGCAGAAGGTCTTGAGCTCGATACC